TTTTTGCGTGGGCTCCGCTGAGCATTTCTTTAGAATCTCCGGATACGTATTTTAGCTAGATTCTGCATCACGAAATCGATTAAAATTAAAATTTATTTTTTCGTAGGAGTGGAAAAAATACGCTTACAAGAAACTAGAAAAGTCGGGCGAGAATTGCGTTCTTTGGGTGATCCTGGTTGCCGTTTTGGTGGCCTCGACTTCATCCACGTCGTCTACATTATTGGGCACCCGACCCAGTTTGGGAAACTTTCTCAAGTCGTACTGGAAAACAGCGGGTGTCTTGTGGGTACTGCAGTACTGGGCCCTGCCTTTTTTGAGTTTGTGGCTGCTGGATCACCACAGAGGCGGGATAAATAAGGTCAAAGTGCGACAAGGATTACGTGACAAGATTGAGGCCGAGGCTGAGAGGCTCAGCTATCCGCTTTTCGACATCGTCGTGGTGAAAAGTAAGGTAATTTCCAGACCATTCGAGGCATCCCATGTGTTTCAGCCGGAATTTACGAGGGCTCTAACAAACTTTCTATCGGAATAGAAATTGAAACGGCAGACAAATGAGCTCAAAACAATTATTTTTCTTGGATTATTTTTTGAACAAAAACTAAAGGCTTTACGCCATGAGCTTCGTGACTTTCTTGAATTATTATTAAAATACTCAAGAACAACGTACAGTAAAATAAATCTCCATAACTCGAATTTCCAAATGTCATTTGGGCATTATTCTGGTAACTAAGAAAAGAAAACAAAACACAAATTTGACTTGATGATATTCAAAGGGAAGTGTGTGAATAATTGTGCTAATCAAACCTCGCCTCCAATTTCAGCTTCCCGTCAGCTCATTTATTCCGTAGTTGAAGGCATAAGAATCACCAATTGTACTTTCCCACTTTCTTTTATTGCTAACTTCGACTTGAAGAGGTTGGAAAGGATCACTATTTTTTGAAAAATGTGTATCAAAATGCTGGGAATCACGAGGTTCATTTTAGCTTAATTGAATATCCCAAAAAACAGGAAAATAAGAAACAGCATCATCATTAAATAAATCAAGAACTTATTCCTGCCGAAATTCTCCTTGTTGTAACGGCCAAGGGCGTGATGGATAACTTTGTTGAAAGGTAACCACGACTCGTGACAAATTTAACAACGAAATGTGCAATGATATCAGGGTTCTAGAACAATTTGAGTATAGGTGGGAAGGCTGATTTTTCAAATAAACCTTATTGGATTTGATGAAACAAAATTAGCCTTCTCCAGTCAGTCCTGAATTCGTTTGCAGCCTGTTCGCATGCTTCGGAAACATATGAATTTATCTGCATCACGCACGATTTTATTTATGTATTTATTTGTTCATTCATTCATTTCCTATCAACATTAGGTGGTGATTTGGATTGCTACCAGGATTTTGACGTGACCAACATGGCACACACGATCGGACCCCCGACCCCGGAAACCCTGTTCCTGATTGAGAGCGAATCCGGATCGAAAAGTTACACATTGGTGACGGAATCGTCGGATTCAAGCATGTCTCCGGAAGCGGGTCATTGGCGAAACTTTGACCGCGAAAGCTTCATGGCCGACGAGCGAATTGCAAATTTAATGAACCCGCAATTGGACATCAATGGGGATACTTGCTGCGATCAGCATCGATCCGGTGCCGGGGCATGCGACAATTTGCCACGGAAAAAGTTCCTTCGAAAACAGAGCAGACCTTGTTTCGGTAATTTTGTTATTTCGTCAGGCTTGAATCCAAGATCACAAATTTTTTTTTATTCTGCGAATTTCGCACAAAAGTCGCAGAATTGATTTTCAAGAAAACTCAATAATTTTCAGTCATGGCGCTTCTAAACGTGCAAAACTGTTGAGAAGGATATTTTCAAAAAATACTTCGACTTTCCGGTCGGAATTTCGCATTACTTTTTTTGCATTTTTTTTTATTTTTTGTAAAGCAGAGTGCGATATTTTCCTAGCCCTTCAAGGTAATAATTTTTCAAAATCAGCGAAGTTCGCAGACTTTATTTTCAAGAAAACACAATTATAATAATCGATCATGACGCTTTCAAGCGAGCAGAACTGTTGAGGATATTTAAAAAAAAAAAAAACCCGGAATTTCCGATGGGAACCTCGCATTATATTTTTGCCAACAGTGTTGCGATAAATATTTTTCCCAACCCATCAAGATAATTTTTAAAAATCAGCGAAGTTCGCATAAAATTCGCAAAATTTACTTTGAAGGAAACGCGATAAAAATAATCAGTCATGACGCCTTCAAGTGTGCAGTTCTGCTTCTTATAAATGGGTATTTTCAAAAAATACTTTATACTTTCCGGAGCGGAGGGGGACCTCGCACTATTATACATTTTTGCACAGGATGTGGGAATAAGCATTTTAATTAACCCTTCATACACAAGGTACTAACGCAAAATTTATTTCCTGTTGTATGTCAAGGTTGCCAACGTACAGCATACTACAAGGAGCTCAAACCGAATCCCATCAGACCAAAGCCAGAGACTTTGAAACTATACAGAATGCGTGACAAATATGCAGCAGCGCCGCATTTTCCGTGCGACTCACTGAAACCCATCGATCCCGGGTGTTGCTTGGTGAGTTATAATGCATTCAAGACCTGAATTTGCGGTGCGGTAAACATAAATGCGTGTGATTT